CTAATTAGAATAGTTAGAGTTATTTGAAAATTTCTATTAGTCCTGGGTCTTTGAAAGGGTTGGGTAGTGAATTGACGTTCGAGGACGTTAGACACTTTATTAAAAGGGTGGGGGAGAACAAAAATGTTCTATTTGATCCAAGGATAAGCCTTGATGATCAGACATAAATTTTATTGGTACAAAACGATTTAATTTAGGTATTTAAGGAGATCCAAGGAAAGCCTTGATGATCTTTATATAAGGTGTAGAGAAATTTAAGTTAAATAAAGATAAAATTTAGGATAAGCTTGAAAAATAATTTTTTGTTTTATTGATAGAAAAAAATTAGTTTTTGATAATGTTAGTAGTTCATTTGATTGCTATCATGTTTAGGTGATGAAGCTGGAGATGACACAATGATTTGTTTGTACTAAAATTTTATGATCATGTTAACTAATTTTTATTTTTATTTTAAAAAGTATATTTTTCAGATATCTTTTTGAATCTTACTGCAGTTTTGGAGGAAACGATTCGATATGTTTTTATCAATCGTTATTGTGCAATAGTAAAATTTGTATAGCGCCTGAAATAATCATTGAAGCTTATTCTTCAAGGTCTTATGTTTGCAAATGAAAATATAAATTCCTTGCTAGTAAAATTCTAAATATAAAAGTTTGTTCTGGCTTTTGCCGTACGACCATGAAACTTAATGGTAAGTTTCTCCGTAGTCGTAGATCGTCTCTTGTCCGAGGTCTTCTTCCAACACCTGGTAGTTCTCGTTTTGTACGGAATAGCGGCTCTGATCTATTGAGTCGTAGAGACATTTCAACTAAATTATTATCATGTAACATTTCGGAAATGTTTTTGTCTATTTCTAATCTATTTTGTTAGCTCTAAGCTAATTTGTTTTTTAAGGTCTTATTCGAGACTTATGGTCGCACCAGATGAGTTGTGACCGAGGTTTAACTCATAGAGTAATTTCGGATAGGGTACACCGTCTGCTCGTCACGCTATCTCATTTTCGGCCGGATAGATTCGTGCAACTTCTTAGTTTAATACCGATCCTAATCTTACTCTTATATCTACTAGTCTCAGGGTGTTTAACTAGTCTCTGCTAGGCTCAATAGATCTAAAGTATACTGGCTTATTGCGATTGCTAGAAGGTCTCTTGGAGAGGTAACTAATTTCTAAGTTAAATTCAAATCTCTCTGGTGCTGAAATTACAAGTAATTTCAGCACTTACAAATAAGTGGGTTGTTAGTTAGATGGATCATGATTGGTTAATATTAAACATTTTATAGTGATAAAATATCCAATTTATAACCATAAAAAATGTAGTATAGATCTGGTTCCAGTAGGATAAAAAATCCTATCGGCTCTCAGGGCACAATTCATAAAGTCAGCTGTTTTTACTGGATTTTGCGAAATACACAACCCTGGCTAAATTCAGGTGGACTAGTTATCCACTTTGTTGCCTTTATTTTATAGCTGGACATTGTTAACAACCGTTTTGAGAAAACTTTACAGTTGATCAGCGATGAAATTAGATAACTGGAAAATGGCGTGGCATCCCGAACGAAAAAAGAGCGGTATGTTTTTTGTCACTGAATGTCACCTTGAACTTATCTCAAATAACTTAGAAAATTACAAGGCTACCGGTTTTATGGAAAGTTTTTCCAGTGGCGCCTGCAGCTACACCTGCAAAATTGAGCTTAAGGTTTTTCAACTCAACTGCACCGAAGATCACGAATTGCTCAAAAAGCCTGAAGAAACCATGTATTTTGCTGCAAAGGCGACCGAGATTGGAAAAAATCAGATTGGGCTGAAACGGATTTGTAACTTGTTCAGTCAACTTTTTGAGCCATATGATAATTGGTGCACTGATTTACAGAGTGATTTTTTTGACGGAGGACTTAACTACACCGTCAAAACCGTGTCGAATTGGTTAATTTATACTGACATGATCTTAAAATTGGTTTAGTGAAACAGAATATTTAATGACTTTGGATAGCGAATGGACGTAGATGAAAAACCTACTTCATTTGATGAGCTGCGGTGATTGCTGACTTTATGTTTTAATGTCTTTCTGCACTATTTATCTTTTTGGACGATAAAAAATTTTTTAGGTTCAATGAAGTCAAAGCAAAAGAGAACGCCGACCAGATGTTTGCACTGATGCAATTTCTTTTCATGATGATCTCTGATCTAGTTAGAGATGATGTAGCTGTTTATTGAGTTTCCCTCTTGTAGTATCTCGATTTAGTTTTTTATTGACTTCTTCATCTTTCCAACAAGATGAATCCGCGAATCTCGATGCATCTCGCTTGGAAAATTTCTCGTAAATATGTTACCTCAGAAGTAGCTACGCTTAATCTAGGTAATCAATAAGCTTGTCTCAATTTGCAATATCAATTTGTTTTTAGTTTATTTTTTTTCCTAATTTACTACTAGCCGAAGATATATAGTCAACATTTCAGATCTACTTAACAATCTCCACCCCTTTCAAGAAACGGGTGGAGATTCTTAAGTAGGTACCATAGGGGGGAGATTGTTAAGTAGATCCAACATTTTATAACTTGCACAGCATGAAATCATTCAACCCGTTTTTGTTCCAACTCGCACAATTTTTCTTCGCAGCTTCTACTTTTTCTTTTTTGATGGCATTTCATAAAATATGGGAGATGAATCGACTTTAAGCGTGGGGAAGCTAGTATTTCTGGCACAATAAGTGTCTGAAAGTACCCTGAAAAAAATTAGCATCCAAAGTTGTTCAAAGTTGGTAGATTGCTCTTAATGGCGTTAATTGATTAGGTAGATGGCGTTAATTTTGCCATTCCGAACGTTCAGAAACTCTTTTTAAAGGTACCGCCAAATTATTCGCCTTATTTGTGACCTTGAGCAACTTGATTGGTCAAAATACGGTTGTCTTAGGTTAATTATTTTTTTAAAATAAAAAATAATGAGCTCAAATATAGAGAATTGCAAAAAGTTCGGACAGACAGAATTAATTGAAAAGAGCAACTGTCTAGACATCAACGGAAATTGAAACTGAAATAAACATAACGTCGAAAGATCATAAAGCAGAGTTTCGCTCAAAACTTATAACCACGGCGGGCAATTGCATCCGAAGCGTCGATTAGTAGGCCTTGAAACAGGAAAAGCATTGCTCAGGTTGGCTGATGTTTTTCTGCGATTATTTTCCAAAATTTGAATAGTTTGATCATCTTTACTTTCGTTTTTTTGGGGTTGGGGGTGGGGGTGGGGTGGTGTTTAGTTTGTTGTTTTTTTTTGTTGTTGAAAATAACTCTAGATTTCAATTTTTTAACTTATTTTACGAACTGTTTTATAGTAAAATCTGGATGTTCATCGCAGTATTTAAAAAATAGGCTGGGATACAGTGCTGATTTAAATTATCCGGACAAAACGAACAAAATTGAATTTTCAAACGCGTTTTTCTCAAATTGGGTTAAGATTAGACAAAAAGTGAAGAGAACAACGTTGCTTAGAATTTCACCAGAAATAATATGCCATTTTTTCTCCGAAATTCTCAACAAAAAATTTACCCCAAAAATGGGTCACTTTGTTTTTTTTCAATTAATCAAAAAATACGCTGAACCACTTTTTTAATGGATAAGAAAATTATATCACAAAAAGCCTCTTACACAGCCCAACGAGTTTAACAAGGGTTAAATCTCTAAAAAAATTGCGCAAATTGTTTGAAATTTATTCTAAACAGAGATTCTGGGTTTTATATAGTAAAAATCACATTTATTGACTATCGAGTGAAATTTTTTTTTCTTTTACTGGTTTTTGAAGATTTAACCTTTGTTAAAATTTGTTGTGCTGCGTAAGAGGCTTCCTGTGATATAATTTTGTCATCAATTAACAAAGTAGTTTCTGAGTAATTCTTGATTATTTGAAAAAAGCCAAAATGACCCATTTTTGGGGTAAAATTTTTGTTGAGAATTTTGGAGAAAAAATGGCACCATATTAATTCTGGTGAAATTCTAAGCAACTTTTGTTCTCTTCACTTTTTATCTAATCTTAACCCAATTTGAGAAAAACGCGTTTGAAAATTCAAGTTTTGTTCGTTTTGTCCGGATAATTTAAATCAGCACTGTAATCATCGGATAATCAACGATCATGCATTTTGAATTTGGTCTGACAAAAAATTCAAGGTTGTTCGGCTTCAGATTTTGCATGCAAAAAAACGTCGAAAAGAATTGATTGCTCATTTTGATTAAATCTGTCTGTCCGAACTTTTTGCTACTAATTATAGCAATATAAGAGAGTTGCAAAAATTTGGAACAGACAGAATTAAATAAAAAGAGCAAATTACGGGCAAATGACCTATTTCAGAAACCTTTTGCATGCAACAGATAGTTTTTCAGACAGACTCAAGGTCGCCCGAAAACTCAAATTTGCATGCACAAATTGCTCAAAATTGGCAGATTGCTCTTTTTAATTATTTCAGTCTGTTCCAATTTTTTGCCACTTATAATATCGGTGACGCGCTCAAATGTTACTGTCAAATTGTTGGCAATAAAATTAATTAATTAACCTAAAACAACCGTTTTTTTGACCAACTAAGTTTTTCGACAAATTAAATGTAGGTTTAGATTTGTTGACCAATTAAATGTAGGTCCAGAATTGTTGACCAATTAAATAAAGGTTCAGATTTGTTGACCAATTAAATGTAGTTTCAAATTTATTGACCAATTAAATGTAGGTTCAGATTTATTGACCAGATTTATTCAGATTTGGTGACCGAAAAAGATAATGCCAACAGTTTGGCATTAACTATAAATAAAAATCTTAATTTGACCTCCACGGGGCAAGGTAGGCATGACTAAATGATTTTTGATTACTGATACCTGTCAAAAGTGCTTATGTTCAACTCAATGGGTCTGTCTGTAAGCAGTTGAGCTCGGAAAACCGCAGTCGAACAGACGTGTGTATTGAACTAAAAACTTCATCTAGCTTTGGAATCGGTAGAAAATTGGAACTTGCAGAGAATAACAATGAGTGAAAGCAAAAATAAGCTAAATATTAAGAACATGAAACCGAACCCTTGCCTAGGAGTAATCCGATTGGACTACGATTATCCGGCAGCTAAGGGCGACATCGATTGTCCGGATACTTTCTGCTACGATGTGTACTACAAAGTGGTGCCTGGACTCACCTTTGAAATGTGTCAGAGGGGAAAATTGGAAGGTGAGGTGAGAACTCGTTTCCAGGAATCGATTGACTGGCTGATGACAGAGAAGAAAGTCTCGTGTATCACTGGCGACTGTGGTTTCATGATGTACTATCAAGGCTTCGCGATGAAGGAAATCAGACGAGAGAGATCTGTGGCGATTGTGATGAGTTCTCTCCTTCAGATTCCAGCCATGCTTTGCGGACTGTCAATTGAGGAAGACATAATGGTTCTGACAGCCAACGAAGAAAACTTGCAGAAGATGGAACCTCACTTCAAGGAGTCAGGTCTTAACATCAACCAGAAACGAATCCACATAGTAGGTTGCGACAATGTTCCAGGATTTGAAGCTGTAGCTGAGGGCGGCAAAGTGGACTCTAAGAAAGTTCAGCCCGGAATTGTTGCTCTTGTGAAGGAAAAGCTTAACGAGTTCCCTAAAACCAAGGCTATTCTACTAGAGTGCACTGAACTACCACACTATGCGAACGCAATTAGATGTGAAATTGGTCTTCCGGTGTTTGACGCCATCACCTGCTGTAATTTCTTCATCAATGGATTCCAAGAAGAGGATCGGTTTGGGAAGCAGGGATGGCAGGAGGACTGGGACGGAGTGCAAGAAGAATACATTTTCGCCCAAAATGTGAAATTAGAAAATAAGGTATATCTGGTCAACAAACCCACTACAGCTCCTGTACCTGCCGAGTTTACTACCACTAATAATTGTTAACTGGTCAGATTTTAATCGCAAAAATGCATTTTATTTGTAAATTAGTTTTGTGTGTTATGGTTGTCTTGTTTTAAACGCGTTTTGAAATAAAATTTTTTTAAAAAACCATCTTCCAAACAAACGATGTGTACATTATGATTAGAGTACTACTTGGTTGTCGAAGAATTCTGAATTTCCTGGTTTTCCCTTGATTTCATGAATTTCCCTTGGTGGGGGACATAAGTGCGGGTAGGAAAAAAAATCCTTATGCTAGCCACCTTAAATGTACCCGATAGCAGATTTAGGGGAAGGAGGCGGGGGTGCGGAAGCCCCCCTCAGGGATTCGACCCCCTGCCGACCCAATTTTTAGTGATTTGGTGGGAGAGCTCAGAAAATCCCCTCGAGAAAATCCGCTCCCCCCCCTCGAGAAAATCTGGAAACGTTAAAATCCGCCCCCCTCTAGGAGTACCTGAAAACCCTAAAATCCGCCCCCCCTCGAGAAAATCCTAGATCCGCCCCTGATTGTACCTGAAATATTTGAAGCGCGCGTTGACTATCGCAGCCAATTTTAATTTTAATTATTTCCATAACTATCGACTATAATTTTAGTTATCTGCAATAAAATTTCTTACAGTCCGGCTTGGCTAAGACATAAAATGGGTCCTAAAAATTAGAGGGATCACAGAGTTTTTTTTTGGGCCTCAGATTGCTTAATTGTGCTTAAGAAAATTTCTCTCATAACGTGGTAGGGCTTTCATACTTGCTTCAGGGACCTAAGTGTTATACTTGAAACTCTGGGAGTTTAAAAAGGTAAGGGATAAACTTTTTACAATTTAGTGAAAGAGTTCAGTGCGTGATCCTAAACTTGGATACAAAGCAGAAACAAATAGTTGGAAAGTTAAAACATTCTTTTAACAATTTGCAGCCTTTAAACAACAGGGCTTACTGTTAACTTAACTAACTTAACTAACACCAGGGGCGGTATTAGGGAGTCGTATGGGGGGCAGACGCCCCATCCTCAGGGATTCGACCCCCTGCCCACCCAAAAGGTCCCCCTTTGTATTATTTTGAAATATCAATTTTCAAAAGGCGCCTTATTTTTGGTGAGCATTTTCCAAAAAGTGCCTAAAGCCTTTTTTGGCCTGATTTTTCAAAATTTTGCCTCCGGCGCTCAAAATTTTGCAAAACGGACTTTTTTTAGTGCTTTGTGAAAGCTCGAAAAATCAATTCGGTCGCCAAAAAATTCGAAAGTTTTGAAAATCCGCGCCCCCTCGAAAATCCTAGATCCGCTCCCTGACTAACACTGCTCATTTTGACGTCTGAAAATTTTTAGATTCAGACTTCCATACGTGAAAACTGTTGAAAAAATGCGATGTTTTTAACCAACTAAAAGATCACCGAACTGTTATCAATTTGACATTTACTATAAGTTGAAAGTTGATTTTTTTGAGTATTTAGAAAGTTGCCAGAAGTTCGAACAGACAAAATTATTTAAAAAGAGTAAATGACCTATTTCAGACAATTTTCGCATGTACAAGCTAATTTTTTGAAAAAGTGTCTTAAGTTAATTTGAAAAAATATTTTGCATGCAAAACTGCTCACAACTGGCAGATTGCCAGTTTTAATTTATTGTCTGCTTTCCGACTTTCGCATCTTATTTTATCTCAATCGACCCCCTCCCCCTCCCCATTATGGCCCCTTATAGGCTGGAAAATGAAAATAATGTATATGGCTGGAATACTTATAGTTTCAGCCAGAAAATAATAATTTTAACTTAGAAAGCAGTTACCTAACCTCCTCTCCTAACCTCACAAGAAAACCAGTAAACAGTAGATCTAATGAGACTATGAACTATAACAGTAAGAAAAGGATCGGTATTAGACCTAACAAGTTCTTATCGGTATAAGAACTTGCACGAATCTATCCGGACAAAAATAAGATAGAGTGACGAAAAGACTGTCCAAAATTATTCAATGAGAAAGCCCCCGGACTTAAACTCATCTGGTGTGGCGAGCAAACCTATACTAACTTAGAATTAGAAAAACCAGACATAGATTAGATAAATTAGAATAGAGAAAAGATCAACAAAATGATAACACAAACCGAAAAAACAATTTGCTAATATCCACTTCTCAATATGCCTACTCAAATAAAGTAGATAAAAATCTGAAACCAGGTGATAACCAGGACAAACCACCAAATATCTGGATCGCAAAGCGAAAAACTAGACTACAACGACTATTCCTCTTCAAACTGGTCACGCAGCAAATTTTCATTCGTTATTATTTAAACTGCAATAAATAGAGTAAATACAGCCGTAAATTTTTATTTCTAAGCAGTGTACTTTTAATAATGAAAACAATTAGTATGCTACAAAAACCACCTGGTCGACGAAAAAACGTCGCAACTCCAAATCTGCAGTAATTTTGTAAAAACCTTTAAATTTCAATGGTTATTGAAATAAAAGCAAAAAATATAAAAGTTAGTTGGTAGAATAAAATTAATGACTAGCTTACATTAAAAATTATGGATCCTTGCTTCTCGACTTTTTCTGTTTTTGTTCTCCACCTAAAACAAAAAACAGAATCTCTAAACAACTACCTTAATTTCAAGTCAAGATCGTCAAGACTTTTCGGGGTCCTTAACCATTTTTAAATCTTTAGTTTTTAAATCGCTTTCTATCAAGGCTTATTCTTGCCTAAATTAAATTTTAATTTTATTCGTTTAAATCTAGCTCATCAAGGCCTTTGTTGGGTCTTTGAATTTTAATTTTAAATCTAAATTATAAGTTTTTTTTCGAGTCCTTTATTTTTTTATTTTTTTAAAATCAGATCATCAAGACTTTTTTGGATTATTTAATAAATTCACTCAAACCTTCTAAATAGTTCACAATGTCATCAAATGTCGATTCATTTTCAAACACTTACATACGACCCAGGACTAACTGCACTAACCAAAAAAATTAAGCTAAATAGTGAAGAACTTCGGCTACTCACCCTTCACTTGAACCCCACCTCCTAATTGACCCCGGCCTAGAACAAATCTTAGCAATAGTGAGAATCAAAATAGTACTTAACGATCGATCTGTTTTCTAAATAAACCTGAACCTTGTGGGTTGTTTTACCATTCTCAAACCTTGATCTCATTTTGATCCTCATTTAAGTAAGAATAAGTTTACTAAAACGTAAAAAACATCACATTCGCTTGAGAGGAGTTGAAAAAACATTCTATTGAACTGATACACTCTCTCCCCAACCAGCTTAGCCAGAATAACACAACCGAAGGGTTAGCATAACAAAAGTCACAAAAATGTAAGAACTAACACTTAAGTAAAAATAAAAATTGAACCTCTGGATTTTGCATTTATCATTGTTAGACTCAAGTCAAGAGATAATTTAGAATGCAAACAAACAATAATACTCCACAATTGTTTAATTGAAAACAAAAAATTCGATCTCGTAATTACAGCACTTACACAAAAAACGGGACAAATCAGATCGAAAAAACAATAAGAAAGGAGGCAAAAATCACAAAACAAAAACAAGTTAAATAAAAAATTTTTTCGGAAACACGAAACGCAGTTTCGGAACCTGGCTCAGCTTCAACCCACAAACTTCAAAATCTTCGAGATTTAATAAACGTAAGAACTATAAGCTTTAAAAAATGAACCTGATGCCTGGTTTTTGCATCAATCATTCTAACACTTACGTCAAAAGATAATTTGATGAACTAGCAAACACTAATTCTATACAGTTGTTTAATTACGGATTCTAGATATGATTCGTCATTAAACCGCACAAACAAGAAATAGGTTACATCTGTTCAATACATCGATCAAAAAGAAGGCTATAATCTCTAAAAAATAATTATTTCAAAAAAATATCAGAAACTGTAGGGCTGTTTCGGAATCCAATTTATCAATTGTACAAAAACTTGAGAATCTCAGAGAACCTCAACTGGTGAAATCAAACCAGTTGACAATGAAAAACTTCTTTCTGAATCAGAAACTACGACGGCATCATCTTTAAAAGGCAACCGAAGAATAAAAAACACTTTTAGTCGGAAACCGGTAAGAACATATATTGGAATCAACCAATACGACACGTTGAAAGCTACACATCAACTGTTATACAGCATAAAAACTGATTCAAAACCACAAAAGTTTGACAATGGCTCAATCGTCCCATTTGTCATTGAAACCACTAGTGACACCTTACGAGGACATGTCTACTTTTGCCACAATCTGATTACGATTCTATTTTGAAATCGAGATAGCCACTGCCAACAGGACTTCCCAGTAGTAAAAATAAAAAGACAGATACTGGATACCTACTTACCAGGTAATATTAGCACAAACTTAAAAAGAAACATGCAAGTAAAGATCCAGTACATCCACAAGACAGAGTAAACATAATTCCGGATATTCTCGAACAAAATGAAATTATATCACCTGTAAACAAAGAACAACAACCAAAAGGACGTACATTTAAAAATTAAGTCATTATCTTAGTAAAAGGAGAACCACTTAAAGTAGCATGAGAATCAAGGTGTTTAAATTCCCTGATCGATGAATCAAAAATTCGAATTGCACATCAAACCGATACAGGTAATTCTCACAAAAATAAATGGACAATTTTATACAAACGCAAATATGAACATCTCAAATAATCAACTGCCCCTAGTGAACCATCACACCGTTTAATATATTTCACTGTTGGAAATCAACAATACGATTTTTAGATTATTCAGTACAGAATATTCTAGGGTATTTCCATAGGGCCAGCATCTTTTTTGAATCCATGAGTAAATTATTTCGACCTTTAACCCTAAGTGAAAGTTTAAGCAAAAACTAAGACGCTGCCAACGTGCGTTCGCAGACAAAACGAGGTATGTTCAATTTTTTAGAAAAATATACACAACCATTTAAAAAAATATATAAAAGCAGCTCCAAACAAATCACATTTTTCCTAACTCGCGTTAATTTCTTAGTTTATATCAAAAAAGGACAAACAAATGAAACA